CTATTAATACAGTAAGGACAGTTAGGAGTTCACTCTAGCAACTTTAAATTTGTCTCTCTTCTCTGATTGTCCAAACCACAGGGTGGTGCTATATATTTGGAGAACTATATAGGTCTGTATATTGAGGAGGAAAGATAGGATTCACTGGAGAGGGAGAAGAATTTTATGAACTTTTATAGGCTAATGTGAATCCTTTATATGTTGGTTTGCCCCAACATAAAGTCTAAAACAGATGCTTCTTCTTTTAATTTTTAACCTTGTTTAAGTGTCCCTGGTTATACAATCTACCCTTGTACTAACTACTTTATAGAGTTGCCATAGGATTTATATTTTCTCTGGAGTGAAATAAAGATTGTCTTCTATCTCAGATTGTTACCTGGGTGTGTACGCAGGGGTGGAGGGCCCTTTTACCAATACCTGTAGAGACCTGACATCACTTCTATTCTGAGGTTCGTAGGTGAAGCTGTAGGTACAAACTTGAGCCATAGCTTTGTGGTACCCTTCCCTCACTCCCCCAGCCATCAAACCTCATTCTATAATCCCAGAGTTTGGAATCCCAGGCCACAGGATACACAAGAGTTATGAGTCTCTCTCTTTTTTATTTTGTTCCTGTTATGAACTTGACAAGTGCAAACATTTTCATATATAAAGAACAGAAAAAGAAAACTATATGAAAACTGTGTATCATATACAACTTGGTTTGCTTTTAAAGTAAAGATAAATTTAACACAAAAGAACCAACAGTTCTTTGCTTATCTCTGTCCCTTTCTGAACTTCCTTCTGTTCTTTTCTATGCATTTTTAAAGTGTGCCATTGATATCACTAATCCCCTTTAATCTTCCCCTTCTCCTCTTCCTCTTCCCCCTCAAAAAGCCCTCCCTTATAACAGATAAGCCATACATTGGCCACGTCTGAAGTCATAGGTATCATTCTGCACCTCTAGTTGTTACTTCTCTGCCAAGAGTAAGAAGCCAGTTCTGTCCTCAGTCTTTTGGAGTCATAATTGGTCATTGCACTGAGGTATTTGGGTGGGACAGTGGGTGGAATATTAGACTTAGAGTTAGGAAGAACTGAATTGGAATCCGGCCTCAGATACTCATTAGCTGTGTGACCCTGGGCAAGTCACTGAACCTCTCAACCTGTTTCCTCATCTGTAATATGGGAATAATGTTAGTACCTCCATCACAGGATTGTTGTGAGGGTCAAATGAGGTAACATGCAAAGTGCTCTGCAAACATCAAAAGAGCTATATAAATACTATCCTTTTTGAGGCAGCTGGGTGGCACAGTGTTTGTGTTAGACTTCGATTCCAGAAAACCTAAGCATGAAGTGCTGTACTTAACTAGCTATGTGACCTTGAGAAAGTCACTTAACCTCTCTCAGCCTCAGTTTCTTTATCTGTAGAATGGGGATAATAATCAGCACCCACCTCATGTGATTGTTGTCAACATCAGATTAGATAACATATAAAGTGATTTGCAAACCTTAAAGTACATTGTAAATGCTGGCTGCCATTATTAGCAATAATCATAATTAGAGGTCTTATGATATAGTCATTCTGTATATTGTCTTTTTTCTGCTCACTTCACATACTACACTAGTTGATACAAGTCTTCTCAGGTTTCTGTGAATTCATCCCTTTTCTCATTTCTTACATGACAATAATATGTCATTATATAACATTATTTAAGCTTTTCCCAGTTGATTTGTATCTACTTTGTTTCTGATTCTTTGCTACAATAAAAGAATGATGCTACAAATGTTTTTGCACATATGGATTATTCTCCTTGGAGTCTATACATAGTAGAGGTTTCACTTGGGCACAGTATGCTCTGATTAGTAACTTTTTGGTTATGGTTCCAAATTACCTTCTAGAATAGTTGAATTATTTCATAGCTCCACTGGCAGTACATTGGTGTATCTTTCCTCCCACAGTCCTGACAGTGATTGTCATTTTTCATTTTTGTGATCTTTATCAATCTGATGGGTATGAGGTGAACTCAGATTTCTTTTAATTAGTTTTTTTTTTCCTTAGTAGTAATTTGGAACATTTTTGTTATGGTTGTTCATAGCTTTTATTTCTTCTTTTGAGAACTTACTATCTGTATCATTTCATCATTTATCTATTGGAGAATATTATTCTGATTTTAAGATAAAGAAACTGAGGGCCAAGGAGTTGAGTTACTTGTTATAGTTACATAGCTTATAAGCGGCAGAACCAGGATTTGAATTCAGGTCTTTATAATCCAAGTCCAGACCTCTTATCATTATACCACCTTGTTTCTGTTAAGTAGGCCAACACCTTTGACTAGATGATCGAACTGAATGAATGAAGCATTTATTAAGTGCTTATAAAGCCTATGCTAAGTGTACTTGGGATACTATTAGAAAAGTGTAAGAATCTGCTCCCAAGGAGCTCAAGTTCTCATGGGGAAAACAACATACATGGAAGGTTCCAGATGCAAATCAGATGGAACAGAGTTTGAATTCCTTGGGTATAGCCTTTGAGGCACAATGTTCAACAATGCTAGCTGTTGAGGAGTGTGAGAAGTGAGGGGACAGGGAAGATCTAGAAGCAAGTAATTACTGCCCTTAAGGGCATCCGGTAGAGGAGATAAGGCCTGTATATGGATAATAATGAAAGGTAGAATAGTATAATATAGTTTGTTGACACTGTATATAATCCATATTTTAATTATCACGGGTCTCCCTTTGATATCCTATGACTGAGAATGTGAGATCTGAGATCTTAGAGCCAGGATCTAAAAGTAATCAAAACGGAAGAGTGGTGGGAAGTCTCCTTGTAAGTGGGCATAAGCAGAAGGCGGCACATTACCAACAATAACCTGAGTGTAAGAAACGGCTTAAAAAACATCCTTGAAGACATGGCCAACCAGAAAAAGAGTGGTTGCCAGAATGAGGCATGCATAGCTTGAGTGCTGGCCTGATACTCATGAAATACATATAGACACAGAGGAAGGTGTTTAAGTGGGTCCTTTCTATAGAATTTACAGAAAGAAACAAATGAGAATCACAGTATGAGGAGGTATATATGAAAATAAAAAGGCTGACGTTGATATAGTACTGCAGGGTTTGCAAAGTACTATGCGTAATATTTCATTCTTGGAACATTCCTGGGAAAATTGAGATTGTTACTACCAACACCATTTTACAGATGAGAAAACTAAAACTCAGAGTTAAAGTCACTCATCCAGTATGGAATTTGAACTTGCATCTCTCCTGGTGCTCAGTCTGGCTCTCCTTTCTCTACATTGTACTGTTCCATTGTGATTGGTGGAGCACTCATACAGATGAGGTCACAGATCCATAATGGTAAAATCCATAAATCAATGAAGCATTTATTAAAAACTTGCTTTGGTGCCGGGTGCTGGGGTTACAGAAACAAAAGATAAATCACCTCGGACTTCAATTGTTGGGACGCAACATGTACACTTAAGATACAATGTAATTTGGGAGAGAAGGCAGTTAGTAAGCAGGTGGATTAAGGGACTGTTCACTAGAAGGTGGTGCTTAAACTGAGTTTTAAAGGAAATGAAGCATTTTCAGAGTCAGAGGTATGGAGAAAGTACATTCCAGCCCATAAGGACAGCAGGTGCAAAGGTGTGGTGAAGGAAGGTGAAGTGGGTGCCCTGTAAGAGGGAAAGTCAGGAGGTGGATGGGCTTCGCTGAGACTAGTGTATAATGAGGCTAGAAATGTTGGATGAAGTGACCCTATAAAGAGCTTTAAATGCTGTAGGAATTTTGACCCCTACACATAGTAGGGAGTCACAGGCATTTATTGAATTAGAGGAGTGGCCTAATCAAACATGCACTGAGATGTGTTGTGGAGGCAGAAATAGCAAGACTTGGCAAATGATTGAATATGTGGGGTGAGGGAGAATAAGAATTCAAGGATGACATTGAGATTGTGTATCTGCGTGACTAGAAAGAATAAAGACGTTTTAAAGAAGGATGGGTATTGGGGAAAAGCAAATGCATTTTATTTTGGACATGTTTGAGGTAGTCACTGGGTATGACTGGGGCTCAGAAGAGACTTGACCTGGACATATAGTTGGGAGTCTCTTGGAACCCCTGTCTCTCTTAAAGGCCACCTAGGTGTTAGTGTTCCCTCCCGCTAAATTACTTTCTATATATTTTGTATCATCTGTGGACATGTTGCTACCCCACTACGATGTAAGTTTCTTGAGGACAGAGGCTGATTGGTTTTATTTTATTTAATCCCTAGGACCTGGCACTGTGTCTGACTCAGAATATGTGCTTAATCAATGCTGGTTGAATTGAATTCCTTATGAAAAGTGCTAACAAACAAAGAATGGGTAATTTGACTAAGCAGAACAGAACAGAGTAGAACCTGTTCTCTATGAAGAGGAAAACAGTCCTTATTAATTAAATTTACTTGATCTTTTATTCTCATTTGCTTTTCTTATAAGAGACAGGTACGTTTTTCTTAGTCCATGTCATTATCCTGGCTCATTTGCCTTCTGTTATGGAGGATTGCTATGAGTAGATGAGTTCTGTGAGGGTATCAGTGAAGCAGAAAGCCAAGGACTGCTCTTTTAGGAAGACCTACAGAAAGAGGATGGGTGAAAGAATATGACAGGAAGGCAGAAGAAATGCCAGAATGGGTGTTAGGAAAACCCAGTAGAAAGTTTCAAGAATGGATTATAATGGCTTGCTGTCTGGAATGTGGCAGAAGATCGAACTGGACAAGGATAGAGAAAAGATTGGATTTTTTAAGAAGAAAGTTAGTAGGACTTTCTGGTGTACATTTTCAGTAGAGTTGTAGAAATGAAAGTCAAAATTCAAGAGGCTGGGGAGAATAATGTATTTTGAGAAAATGAAAGTGTTAGATGTCACTTCCATATAGAGAAAGTTTGTCAGTAAGAAGAAAGAAGATAAGAGAAAGTGTAAAATCCTCTTATCAGGCAGTCAGCTCTGAATAAATGAGAGTTAACTGCATTTTAACTTGTTTTTTACAGGTAAGGCTACAGACTCAGCCGACGAGCCAGCTGGGACAAGCTCCCCTCTACTCTGGGACCTTTGACTGTTTCAAAAAGACACTTTTTGGAGAGGTAAGAGTCCTTCCACGACCTCCTTTAGGCAAGCATAGTCTTTTATTATGTGTCACACAGTGGGATGTCTATAGTACTCCTACTCTTCTTTTTGTGTCTTTATCACTGACCAATCTAGCCATTGTTTTGTATGTATGAGCAGATCTTACAAAATAACTCCCTTTTATGGGTAGTTAGATCAAGACTGGCCTCAAACCAAGATTAGAGAGGGAGAAAGGCTTTTATGCTTGCATTTAAATTATCCTTTCATGACCACTCTTTAAAGTTGTTTATCAAGTCTGTAGGAGAATGAGCTGGTTGTTTTCCCTCCCAACAGGTATTCCCCACCCCCTCCTGTCTACCTTCTCCAACTCTTGATTCTGGCTCTTTCACCCGTGCTGCCCCCAACAGTGATCCCTCCTGTGTTAACAAAGGTGAAAAAAAAAAACAGTTTAAGGAACACGTTACCTTACACGTTACTTGGGACGATATATGCAGCATCCCATATCCATAGTTTTTTTTTTTTTTAATTTATTTTATTTTTAATTCATAGAGCAAAACAAGCATTTCTGTAACACAGTACCATAAAGAAAGATGATTGCATACGAAACTGCTTTACAATTTGCTATTCCCTCCAAATATACAACAAAGTTATGTAAATTTCTTTTTTTTTCCTTTCTCCTTTCCTTCTTTCCTTCCCCCCACCCCCAAGATGGTGCTTTGCAGAAGAAAGACACTATCTGCATCCACATCCATAGTTCTTTACCTTTCCAGCAAAAGAGGAGGGAGGTGCATTTCCTCATTTCTTTTCTGGGGCCAAGGTGGGTTATTATAATTACACATAAGTTCACTTTTCTTAAAAATACTAGAGATTGGCTCAAACACCTTGAAGTAGACACTGAGCCAGTTTGTAGTTAGTTAAGTGTCACAGTCGTGTCTTAGGTTTTTCAGATTCACTTAAGGTTGAGGAAATGATTGGAAGATACATTTATTGCCTGGCTCATTGTAACAGTTGGGATTTTATAAGGATCTACTGAGTAACTCCTTTTCTCCTCCTCCTGAAAGGAAGAGACTTGTTTGTCCAGTTCTCACTAAGAAGTTTTCTCTTTCCAGTTACCCTTCAAAATCTCATAAATAAATAAATTATTGACTGGTATTGACTGGTTTTGGTAGGCACTGAAAAGTGACTATGATTTAGATGGAAGAAAAAGCAACACATTTAGCAGTGATTGACTTAGTTGGTTTGAGAGTGGGTTGGAAAGATTAGTTCTCGAGAAGTAGGGAGTAGGAGGGGCTCATTGTCACAGTGGGGTCTGGAAGGGAAAGTGCATCTGGGAAGGGAACCATATAAGGATACCAATAAATGTAGGTGCCCTTCCTATTCAGAGGTGCTCCTTGTATGGGGTGGGGTTGAAGTGACCAAGATATAATCCACTGTTGCTATTTGCAGAGCCTGTTGATGGTTGCCACAGAGTTTCAAAGGCCACTGCAGTTCCTGAAATGACTGTGTATCATTTGAACCAGAAGAGGGACAGGGATAGTGCAAAAATAGCTCCTGCAAACTTGACCCAAAGGAGATCCTTTGAAGATCATCAGCTAGTATTTGTTGTATGTACAGAGATGCCTCACACTGTACCTTATAAATCAAAGACAGCAAACTCAATTCCATCCTTCCAGGAGCTCTCATGAAGTAGTCTTACTCTTTTGGCTAGGGTTCAGAGTTCTGGATTGTGCTTCCAAGCTTTAAGGTGACATTGGATAAGTTGGACTTTCAGGGGCTTTGGTTTATTTGTCTGTCAAGAAGACAAGGGGCAGCTATGTGGTGCAGTGGATAGAGCATAGGCCTTGGAGTTCAGAGGACCTGAGTTCAAATCCAGCCTCAGACACTGACACTTACTATCTGTGTGATGCTTACTATCTGTGTGATCCTTGGTTCTGTATGCCTGGAAAAAAAAACAAAAAAGACATGATCATCCCTATCTTGCCAACCATTTAATTAACAATCATTTATTCACAGGGTTTTTGTGAGACTTTAATAAAAGGGCATCCAACTTTTTCCATATCTAAAAACATAATGTTTTGAAATCCTTTATGTGTAGCTGACAAATCCATATGTGTATGGGACAAACAAATATAAATATATAATTAAATTCAGCCCTAATTACAATTTCTAATTAAGCCAAGTGGGTTAACATTCCTTTATTTGTTCTTTCATAAGGTCATTCAATAAGGATTTATTGATTACTTTCTGAGTACTGGTCATTCTTATAGGTACTTTGTTCTAGGAAGATACGAAATGTATATGATATTCAGTCCCTGCCCTTTTGGTGCTAATATTCCAGTAGGAGGATGAAATAGAAACACAGAAGACTGGGACACACACCATTCCTACCATTGCTGTTACATGAAAAGTGCATTACAGAGTTACCAAATAAAGTGCTTTATGAAATCCTGGGGAAGATCATCATCTAGAGGGAATCAGGAAAGGCTTCCTTATGAAGGAACAATGGAGTTGAGCAGGGATGAGGAGTTCAGCAGACAGAGGGAGAAGCATGAGTCAAGTCCCTGTGGAGGACAATTTGGCAGGCACAGGAGCACTTTGAGTAAAGGCCCTGGGGCAAGAAAGCACAGGGTCTGTGTTCAGAGGGCAGAGAAGAGTTTGGCTGGAGGGGAGAAGTGGGAAGTAAGGCCAGAAAGACTACTTTGTGGAGGGGTTTCATGCCAGGCAAAGGGATTTAAACTTTCTTTTTTTTTTTTTATGAATGTTTCAATTTTTTTCCCTCAGTTATATGTAAAAACAATTTTAATGTTTGTTTTTTATAATTTTTGAGTTTCAAATTTCTTTACTCCTTCCCTCTTCTCTCCCTTCCTTGAGAAGGCAAGCACTTTGATACAGATTATAAATGTACAATCAAGCAAAATCTATTTCCAAATTAGCCATCTTGCAAAAGAGAGCATAGACCTTCCTTCTCGCCAAAAAAAAAAAAAAAACAACAACAACAACAAAAACCAGAACCAAAAAACAACAACAAGAAAAATAAAGAACTTTATATTCTAGGCAATGTGGAGTCACTGAAAGGTTTCGAGAAGTTGAGTAACATGAATAAACCCATATTTGGAAAAGATGTATTGTCAGTGGCATGAAAGATGGATTGGAAATATAAAGTAGAATTGGGAAGATTGACTAGGAAGCTCTTACAATTGTCCAAATAGGTGGTGATGAGGGCATGTGACTAGTTTGGCCATAGTGGAGGCAAGTAAAGTTGTAGAGCCTGTCTTACCCGTCAGAGCGTTCCTGAACATGCTCTATGCCCTAGCTAGTTCTGCACTCTTAGACAGGATTGCCTATTGGACAGCATTTCATTTCTGACCGTCGTGTCTTTGTACATGCCGGCTTCCATGCCTTGCATACTTACCTTTATCACCTCTACCTCTTGTTATCCCTAGCTGTCTTCAGAGCTCAGGTCAAAGGTTGCCTGTCAATGAACGAGTGATCATCTAGCCACTGCTTGAAAACCTCATAATGGGGAGCTCACCACTTACTGAAACTCTCCATTCTATTCTTTGGATAGCACTGATTATTAAGGAGACTTTTCGCAAGTCAAACTAAAATCTCCCTCCTTGTAACTTCTACCCATTCCTCTGAGTTCTACCCTCCAGAGTCAAGGAGAGTCCCCCTTCCATGTGATTCTGGCCTTCAGGTACTTGAAGGCCGCTTCCTTGTCCCAAACTACCTTCATGGCATGGTTTCTAGTTCCCTCACCATCCTGTTCTCCTTTCACTGTATATACTCCCGTTTGTCAGTGCCATTCCTAAAATGTGCCATTCCAAAGTGGACGGATAATGCTCTGACCATATCACAGAACAGCAGAACACAGCAATGCTTATCCCCTTCTTCCCTTCCTCCCTCCCTCTTGAAACTCTCTTTCTATTAATACAGCTAGGATCACGTTCACTTTTTTGGCTGCCAAGTCAGCACCTGTGCTGGAGGGCTCAACTGGAAGAATGTCGTACTGCGTAGCAGAACAGAAACTGGGCCTGTCAGATTCTTGTTCTTTGCCCTCTTTGCCAGGATGTCTGGTGAAGGAAAAAGTGGAAAGTTAAAGGATGTGGTCTTTCATTTTCCTCTTCAAGAAACTTTTCTCATGAAAATGTATCGTACAGTGGAATGAGTGCCAGATGTGGGAGTTGAGACCCTGAATCCAAATCATGGTTCTGCCATTTACTATTTGTGTGACCTTGGGCAAATCATATGACCCCAGTTAGCCTCAGTTTTCTCATCCAGAAGATGAGGAAGTTGGCCTAGATGACCTACTCAGAGGTCCCTTCTCATTCTCAGTCTAGAAGCTAAAATGCCTGTTTGCACATTGTCTTTCAGGGTATTCGAGGCCTTTACCGAGGAATGGCTGCTCCTCTTGTGGGTGTCACGCCCATGTTTGCTGTCTGCTTCTTTGGCTTTGGGTTGGGGAAGAGACTACAACAGAAGCACCCAGATGATGTATTGAAGTAAGTTCTTCAGGCCCACTGTATTAGACCCTGTGTTGAAGAAGAACCACGGCAGGGTGGGACATAGTCATTTGTTGGCTGTTTGTTTTTAAATGATGTATTTTACATATACTGCCTTGTTTCATTAATGGGAAAGAGTCCAGGCTAAAAACAGATCTTGTGTAATAAAGTTCAAGATTATGTATCTCCTGCCTTCTTTTGCAGAGGAGAGTTAGTACAGTGGGGCAGTGTTCACACTTAGCCACAGAATAATCCACCAGTAAAAGACACCTCACTGACGGTCATAGTTTGTCCCCAGGGCAGTCTCTGGATAGGTTCATGGGTAAGGAGGGAAGGTGATTTGGAAAGTCTGTCTGGAGGCAGCATGGTGTAGTGGGAAGAATACTGATGTGGTCTGTGAAGACCTGAGTTGTTTGAGTGGCTTTGCTGTGCTACTCACTGCATGTGCGATCTTGTGCAAGTCCCTTCACCTCTCTGGCTCTCATTTTTTTCCTCTATAAAATGAGGGGGTTAGACTGGATGCAGTGGTTTCCAAACTTTGGTCCAAAGTTCTACAAATCTTTATGTGTGCCAAGCTTTTTCATTTGGTGGCTTAGGGAATAGAGTGTGAGACTTAGAGTTAAGAGACCTGGATTCAAATCACCACTCAGCTACTTAGAAGCACTGTAATAGTAGATAAATCACTTTACCTTTTGAGGCTCAGTTTTCTCATTTGTAAAGTGGACATTTTGTACAAACTACCTTGCACAGCTATTATGAGGAAAACACTTTTGCCAACTTTAAACTGCTATGGCAACATAACTTTATTATTAAGTAGATATATGAAGGGCCTGTGATTTTTGTCAGTATGAGAACTTAAAAGATTTCAACTTGTCTGTAACTGATGATAGGATTTTTGAATTGAATGAGTGTCAGAAATGTTGAGTGGTTTGCTCATGGTCACCTGGCTAGTAAGTGGCAAAAGCCATATTTGAACCCAGGCTTTCCTGACTCCAATTCTAGTATACTATACTGCCTGTTATTATCATTATCATCATCATCATCATCATCATCATTATTCATTTTGTCATTATATATTTCTTGATCAATGTATTAATAGTCCAGCTACTCTAATATATATTAAAATACAAAATTTTTTGACTTTAAAAAATTGTGTTCTTAAACTCAAAAAAGTTGACAATTATTAGATGAGCTCTAAGGATCTTTTCATATGTTAAGTCCTGTGGTTCCATGATCTTTATTCTTGGAACCAAAGGTGAGTGTTCTTTATTGTCCTGCCTCCCAGCTTGTGAACTAGTGAGGAAGAAAGGGATGCTTTTATTCTTTCTCTATGCCATGCTCATATATGTTTTAACAATTTCTACATATGGATGAGATAGGTCAGCCTTGTTTTCCATCTTTTTGGAAAGTGAAGTTCAGCATGAGTCAGTGACCAAGTCAATAAGATTTCAAAGCTGACTGAGCCATTCTTGCTTCCAGTTCATTCTAACAAATATGTTTCCTAAGATGCTGTAAAGCATAGTTAAAAGAAATATTTTAAAGCTAGAAGGCATATGTAAGCTTTATTGTTAACTCCTATTTAAAATATTAATCCCTCCCCAAAAGGGTAGCCAGCCCTGATGCTCTGTCTTCTGTGGCAGTAGTAGGGAGCAGATGGCAGTAAGGAATGCTGGATTCCCTCTGACAACCCACATCTGTCACTGTGGGGCTCCCTGCTAGGCATCTGGCTCTGGCACCAGCAGGATCTCCTTTCAGATCTCTGGCCATGATCCTTAGCAAAAGGCCAGCTGGACTATGGATCCCAGTCAGAGATAAGACTCAGTCCCCTCCTCAGATGAGCACAAGCAAAAGAACCTGGCAACCTTGGTTATTATCATTGGACATTTGAGTCCTACAACCGGTACCTGCTCTCACATCTGTTTGGCTCAGTAGAATCCTTTTTACTTTTTCAAGAGTAATGTGCATAAGTTACTTAGGACTGATTTTCCAGAGGAAGCCACAGGTGTCCCAAGATTTCAGCCCCAAAGTACATCTGTAAGGGATACTTACAGCACTCTGTGAGTTCTGGGGCCAAAGGGCACAAAGTCTGCTTTGGCCTCAGGAGTCTGTCCTTTTATATTGTATCCATCCCTTCATCTTTCCATTTCTGAGTGCCCACTTTGTACCGAATCATGCACTGGGAGAAGTACAGCACTTAGAGAAGACACTATCCCTGCCTGCCCTTCTGCAGCTCAGAGGTCAATAGCATCTGCTGATTGATATCGTTAGAGGGTGATACACAAAGGCAGTAGTGAATTTAGAGAGATGTGGGAGACTTGAGTCTGTGGTCTTGCAGCACTTGAGCAATAACTCAGGTATATAAGCAACTAAAAATTGTTTCCTCACTTGACTCTATCAACACTTGCTTCCTAAAATGGAAATTAGATGTGTTGAACAGAGTAGACAGGAAGGTGGAGCCACCCTTTATGGGCTCTGCTTGCCCAGAAACAGATATCAGGAAGCAAAGGTGAATAAAGGCAGAAGCATTTGGCCTCTGGGGTCTATGGGAGGAATTATGCATACAAGATTTCTGAATGGGCAAGGGTTTGGTCAGTAAGGGGACTTCAATTAGGGTATTAGCGAGGCTAAACACCAGGATTGGCAGTAAATACACTTGAGTGTGAATCTCTCACTGATGGTCTGTAGCCACTCTCTCCTAATAGGTCTCAGACTTGCCTATCTCAGAGTTGGAAGGGACTTCACTGGACATCTGTTCCAACCTATCTCTTGTAGAAAAATCTGCTCTAGCATACCTAATCATCCATCCAACTTTTGGCTGGAGACTTCCATGAGGGGGAGCCTGAGGCAGTCTATTCCATTTTTGAATAACATTACATGTTAGGAACATTTTCCTGACCTCTAGCCTCAATTTTCTTTTTGTAACTTCTACCTGTGCCTTCCAGTTCTTCCCATTGAGGCCAATCAGAACAAGCCTTATCCCTCTTCCATGTGATAGTCCTTCAGGTACTAGAAGAATCCCTTTTTTTTTTTGTTAGGCTAAACCCCACAACTTCTTTGAACTGCTCCTAATTTGGCGTGATCCTAAGCCCCTTTACTATCCTTGTCACCCTCTACTGAACACACTCTACTGAACATCAGTGTCTTTCACAAACATTCATAACCTCTGGAGTATTTATAGTTAAAAGATGCAGGATCAGTTTGAGGCAGGCCATGCCAGCCAGAGTACCAGGCTTAGGATTCTGGTGCTACTGGATGTAGAATTCTGATTGGTCATTTTCATATTTTTGCTCAGGGTGGGATGGGTAAGTATGCTGTTCATTGGACATAGGCAGTGAGTACTGTAAAGTAATGAGTGATTTCCATAGGACCAATGAAAATTATTTGAATCACACCCTTTGTGTCTTACTCTTCTTATATCAGAGTGGAAGGTAAGGGATGCAAAGAGCTTCAGTCTTGGTGGTTGTCCCTGGACTCCATTATCTACTTGCTCTGGTGGTAGGCTAGTAGGAACCTAGTTAGCCTCATTATCACAATGATCAACATGTCACCTTACTTAGGAAAGGCACATTTTTCCTCTCCATACTGTGTGCTTCATGTAGTTCCATTGGTCCTCCCTTTGTAAGCAAGACATTTCCTTTCCTCCCTCTTGTCGTCACCACGTAAGCCACTGAATTCCCTACCATTCTTCTAGGTAGGCATACACCATTCCCAGATTCTAGGAATTTGCTTCCTCTTAGCTTTATTCCTACCTTCCTGTGTAAAGATCAGACTGTGACTCAGTAGCCATGGGTCCAAGCTTCAGCAGGTTAACTAGAGTTATACAATTTTCTGTGATATAGAGCTTATTCTGAAGTGGGCGGAGGGGAGAAGGTAGAGAAAGAGTTTAGAAGCTCAGTCCATTGTTGCTGAATCCCTAATCTCTAATCCCTAAATTGAAAATCCCCATTTCAAATAGGGATGGAGAGCTACTGCTACCCAACTGTTGTGCCAGCTGTGGATACCATTTGCATCAGATTCTTCTGGTTATACAATCCGTCAGGCTCACTGTGGCCAAGCAAAGGAGTTTTTCAGAAGTATTTCTCAAGCTACTATAGCTCTTGTTGTAATGTAACCAACTTCAGCTCTGTTCCTTGTTCCTACTAACCAGGCTCAAAGGTTGGTCTGAATAGGAATGGAAACTGAGCCAGACAGGAAGTCACCAAAAAGCCGCTACTGGAAAGGCAGTGACATAGTGGGAAAAGACTAGACTTGGGATGAAAAGAGTCCTGGGGTTCAACTCTTGCTTCCCACCCTTATGTGGTGGTTTTGTGACCAAGGCTTCTCTGAGCTTCTATTTCTCCATCTATAAAATGGGGTTAATGATACCTATTAAATTGATTTGCCAAAGTTATGACATCAAACAAGATAAACTATGTAAAGCACTTTTTTAACCTTAAAGCACGTCAGTTGTTGTTACTATGTTATTACCAATATTTTGGCCGTAGACAAAGCAAACCTGGAGATGCCATTGTGTGCTAAAGGTGGGCAGGCAGTTTTGCAGAATTAAAGACTGGTTCAGCTCCATCTACCTCCTTCCTGATAATGTGAGACAGCCATTATTCATTCCACACACCCTCAGTGCTAAACTGTTCAGACTTGGAGGGCAGAGTGTTCTCAGTTCCTTGGTGACCCTCAAAAGACAGCTTGTATCCATATTTAATGTCCATTAGGAAATGAGCCAAGATTACTTCTTAACCCAGACCTCCCACTCTTTTTGGTATGGAAGGCCACAGTGGTGCAAAACCTTCTTAACACTTTAGCTTCCTTGGACCTTGGGCCCTGGAAAAGCAAGACAAAAACAAACCAAAACCAAAACCTCAGCCTTCTAACTTTGCAATTATGGGTCCTCCAAATACCCTTTGCAGCTTTGTAAAGTACAGATGTTTGGGTATAAAGCTGCCTCATTTCTGGAATTTCCTACATCCTGTGTAGTTAATCACTGGCTCTTTACTACTCTTGTTTTTTCCACTCTAGTTATCCCCAGCTGTTTGCAGCTGGGATGTTATCTGGTGTGTTCACAACAGGAATCATGACTCCTGGAGAAAGAATAAAGTGTCTGTTACAGGTAAGCGGGAAGAAAGTATTCTGCTTTTCAGTTGTATAGCTTTTGTTTGCCATTTTTTAAAAGTCCCTCTATTCCTTAAATACCAGTGCTAGATACATGTGCAAAATGTTTTCAAGGTTTATAGGAATATGGGGACTTTTAATTATCTATCAGTCCATCAACATACATTCATTAAATGCCACCTGTATGCCAGGCACTATTGCTAGGTGTTAGAGATACAGACACAAAAATGAAATTATCCCTCTTCCCAAGGAGCTTACATGCCATTAGAGGATATAACATATACATATGTAGGTACAGACAAAAGAGAGAAAGTGTAATTTTAGGGGGAAGGTACTAGAAGTTGGGCTTAGGAAAGGCTTCATGTGCTGTAGAAGTTGGTACTTTAGCTGTTCTTTGAAGGAAATGAGGGGTTCAAAGAGACAGATGGAGGTGAGAAGAGAGTGCAGCCCAGGAACGGAAGTAAGAGATGGAATACCTTATGTGAGGATGAGTAAGAAGGTTAGTTTGGCTGGCCTGAAGTGTGTGTGAAGAGGTATGTAATAAGGATGGAAAGCCTGTATTGCATCCTAGATGGAATGGGGAGCCATTAGAATTTATTAAGTAGGAGAGTGACATAGTCAGACCTGCACTTAGGAAAATCTTTGGCAGCTGTGTGGGGAAAGACTTGAGGCTAGGAGACCATTCAGGAGGCTTTTGTAAATAATTTTGTAAGAGCTGATGAAGGCCTGAACTAGAGTGATGGCCATGAGAGTGGAGAGAAGAGGAAAGATGCAATATATGTCATAGAGGTAGAGACAACAGGATTTGCAGCTTATTAGCTATGTGGAGTTAGGCTAGCAAGGATAGCTCCAAGGTTTTGAACCTGGATGGTTGGAAGGTTGGTGGCACTTTTGATAGAAATAGGGAAATTTGGAAGGGAGTGTGTTTAGGTGGAAGTAATGAGTTATATTTGGAGTATGTTGAGTTTGAGGTGCTGTGGGACATCTAGCTCAAGTGTAAGAGAAGAATATTGATTGATCTTATTAGCAAGAAAGCAAGACAGACCTGTCATTCTCCACTTTAAAGCTGTATATCTTATTTAACCGATCAGAAAGCTAGAAAAACATTGCAGTGGATCGTACTTGAGAGAATGCTGGCCTCCCATTCCTGTGCTGCTCCAGCTATCCAAATCCTACCTTTCCTTTAACAGACAGCTCAAGACCCACCTTCTGCACAGTCTCCCTCTGCAGCAGTGCTTTTGATCTAATACTGAATTCTTTTATCATTTTTGTTGTCTTGAATTGTTTTTCAGTTTTTTAATATGTGTGTGTTCTGAGTTTCTAACTAGGCTCTAAGTTCTATAGAGGTAGGATCTATTTATCTTCTCCATCTATTGTACCTTCTGCGTGATAGTTACTTAGCTTGTGTTTGTTGAATGAGCGAATTGTTGACTGAAAAATCCCATGCTCAATTCCCTTGTGTGGAAAGTTACTGGTTAGGTATTTGGGGAAACACTTAAGGAGAAGCCCTAGCATAAAGACTTAATTTTTGTATTAAAAAGATAATAACTCTCAACAAGAAACAAATAAGCCAAATGAGGAATAAAATCTTAAATAACAAGGTAGAAGTAATTTAATGAACAAAAAGAAAAGCAAAAAAAAAAATTTGTGCTGCACATCTTTTAGGCTTGTCTAAAATTCTGAGACCTCTAACTTGTCTTTTCTTCTTTTTTTGTTTCTTTCTTCCTTTTCTTCCTTTTTTTTTTCTTGTAGTCAAGTTGTACATTGTGATTCTACTGCTTTCTGTTTGCATCACCTTTTATTTCCATACTTATTTATGTTTGATATTTATCATTTTTGTGGGATGTATTCCATTATGTTAACATAAATAGTTTATCTCCAATTACAAGAAAAGTTTATATCCTATTTTTTGTTATTACAGATAGAATGATTATAAATATTTCTGTACAGATAAGTCCTTTGTCTCCCTCCACACCCTTTTTAAAAATGTTCTGTGAGATAATGTCAGCAATGGGATCACTGTGTGGAAAGTACATTTTGTCATCTTGGTCTCCAGAATGTTTCTACCAGTTGATAGCCACTGAATGACATATTAAAATGCCCATTCTGACACAATGTTACCAACAATACATTTTTACAATTTTTCAATATTTTTGCCATTCTAGTGAGATATTTAATAAAGATAATTCAGTTGGGTTGATTCACTTTTTTTACACTTAATTTTTATTTTTTTTTCTCAATTGCATTAAATAAAAATTTTTAACATTTGTTTTTTAAAATTTTGAGTTCTAAATTATCTCCTGCCCTTCCCTGCCCCTTCCCTCAGCAGGCAAGCAATTTGATATAGATTATACATGTGCAGTCATGCAAAACATTAGCCATATTGCAAAAGAAAATATAGACCAGAAAACCAAGAATAATGAAGAGGGTAAAAAAAAAGTATGCTTCAATCTACATTCATACTCTGTCATTTTTTTTTTTCTGTGGAGAAGGATAACATTTTTCATCATAATTCCTTTGGAATTATCTTAGATCTTTGTGTTGCTAAGAATAGCTAAGTTATTCACAGTTGATCATTGTACAATATTGCTGTTACTGTTTCTGTTTCTGCTCATTGCACTTTGTATCAGTTCATGTAAGTCTTCTAGGTTTTTATGAAAGCATCCTGCTCATCATTTCTTATAGCACCATAGTACTCTTTTTTTTTTTTTTTTGGTGAGGCAGTTAGGGTTAAGTGACTTGCCCAGGGTTACAGAGTTAGTTAGTGCCAAGTCTCTGGTCTGAGACCAGATTTGAACTCAGGTCCTTCTGACTCCAGGGCCAGAACTCTATCCACTGCACCACCTAGCTGCCCCAACCATAGTACTCTTATCTCAAATTATATACCACAAATTGTTCAGCTATTCCTCAATTGGTGGGGCATCACCTCAATTCCTAATTGTTTGGCATTGCAGAAAGAACTGCTATAAATATATTTGTATATGTAGGTCCTTTTCCTTTTTCTTTGATCTCTTTGGATTATAGACCTAGTAGTGGTTTTGCTGGGTCAAAGGGTATGCAAGGTTTTATAGCCCTTTGGACATAGTTCCAATTTGCTCTCCAGGATGGTTGAATCATTTCATAACTCCACCAACAGTGTATTAGTGTCCTTATTTTTCCATATCCCCTCCAACATTTGTCACTTTCCTTTTCTGTCATATTAACCAATCTGATAGATGTGAGATGATATCTCATAGTTGTTTTAATTTGCCTTTTTCTAATCAGTAATGATTTAGAGCATTTTTTTCATATAGTTAGAGATAGCTTTGATTTCTTCATCTGAAAACTGCCTATTCATATCCTTTGACCATTTATCAGTTGAGTAATGACTCATATTCTTATAAATTTGATTCAGATCTCTATATATTTGAGAAATAAGACCTTTATCAGAGAAACTTGTAAAAAAATTAACCGTTTCCTACTTTCTTTCCTTCTGATCTTGGTTGCACTGGTTTTGTTTGTGTAAAAAAAATTTAATTTGCCGTAATCAAAATTAATCCATTTTACATCCTGTAATTTTCTCTAATTCTTGTTTGGTCATACATCTTTCCCTTATCCATAAATTTGACAGGTAACATATTCCATGCTTCCCTGATTTGATTATGATATCACCCTTTATGTCTCCCTTTATGTCAAATGTACCCATTTGACCTTGACTTAGTAGTGTGGGATATTGGTCTGTATCTAGTTTCTACCAAACTGCTTTCCAGTTTTCTCAGCAATTTTTGCTGGGAAAATAAGTCAAATAATGAGTTCTTGTTCCAAAAGCTTGGATCTTCGGGTTTATCAAACCCTGATTACTATGGCCATTTACTACTATGTATTGTGTATCTTATCTGTTCCACTGATTTACTCTACTTTTAGCTAGTACCAGATTGTTTTGATTATTACTACTTTATTTATTTGAGTATATATATTTTCTAAGTATAACATGATATCATCTACAAAGAGTGATAGTTGTATTTCCTCATTACCTATTCTTATTCCTTCTATTTCTTTTTCTTGTCTTATTGCTATAGCTAGGATTTTATTTCTAGAAAAATATTGAATAATCTTGGTGGTAATGAGCATTCCTGTTTCATCCCTGATCTTATTGGAAAGGCTTCTAGCTTATCGCCATTACAGATAATGCTTGCTGATGGTTTTAGGTAGATATAGCTTGTCATTTTAAGGAAAGCTCCATGTATTCTTGTGCTGTCCTGTGTTTTTAATAGGAATTCATGTCGTATTTTGTCAAAAGCTTTTTCTGCATCTGTTGAGATAATCATATGATTTTTATTTTAATTTTTTTTTGTTATTGATATAGTCAGTTATGCTGATAGTTTCTTTAACATTTAACCAGCTCTGCATTTCTGATTTAAATTCCACCTGGTCATACTGTATATCATCTTTGAGATATATTACTGTTATTATTACTTGCTAGTATTTTTATATAAAATTTTTACATCAATATTCATTAGGAAAATTGGTCTATAGTTTTCTTTCTCTGTTTTTGCTCTTCATGTTTTAGATATCACCACCATATTTGCATTGCCAAAGGAATTTGGTAGGAATCCCTCTTTGCCTATTTTTCCACATAGTTTATATAGTATTGGAATTAATTGTTATTTAAACATTTGGTAGAATTCACTTGTGAATCCATCTGGCCCTGGTGATTTTTTCTTAGGGAGTTCATTGATAGCTTACTCAATTTATTTTTCTAAGATAAGATCTGTTTCCTCTTCAGTTAATCTGGGCAATTCATATTTTTGTAAATATTCATCCATTTTACTTAGATTGTCAGATTTATTGACATACAGTTGGGCAAAATAGGTCCTAATAATTGCTTTAATTTCATCTTTCTTAGTGGTAAATTCACCCTTTTCATTTTTAATACTGGTCATTTGTTTTGGTTTTTTCCTTTAATCAAATTAATGAACGGTTTATCTATTTTATTATTATTATTATTTTTAAATAAAACTAGCCCCTAGTTTTCTTTATTAGTTCAGTGGTTTTCTTTCAATTTTATAAATCTCTCCTTTGGTTTTTCAGGATTTCCAATTTGGTATTTAATTGGGGATTTTTAATTTATTCTTTTTCTAGTTTTTTAGTTGCTTGCCCAATTCATTGATCTATTCTTTCTCTAGTTTATTGATGTAAGCATTTAGAGTTATAAATTTTCCCCTAAGTACTGCTTTGACTACATCCCATAAATTTTGGTATGTTGTTTCATTGTTGTCATTCTCTTTAATTAAATTATTGATTGTTTCTATGGTGTTTTTGATCCACTCATTCTTTAGGATTAGATTATTTAATTTCCAATTAATTTTTAATCCATGTTTCCACGGCCCTTTATTGAATATAATTTTTATTGCATTATGATCTAGAAAAGGATGCATTTAATGTTTCTGCTTTTTTGCATTTGGTTGTGAGGTTTTTATGCCCTAATACATGGTTAATTTTTGTGTAGGTGCTGTTTGCCACTGAGAAGAAGATATTCTTTCTACTCCCATTCAGTTTTCTTCAAAGGTCTATCATTTTTAACTTTTGTAAAATTTTATTCATCTTCTTAATTCCCTTCTTGTTCATTTTATGGTTAGATTTATCTAGTTCTGAGAGGGGAAAGTTGAGGTCCTCAGTAGTATAGTTTTACTGTCTGTTTCCTCCTGTAACTCATCATTTAACTTTTCCTTTAAGAATTTAGTTGCTATACCATTTGGTGCTTATATATTTAGTATTGATAATGCTTCATTGTCTATGGTTCTGTTTAGCAAATTGTATTTTCCCAGCTTATCTCTTTTAATTAGACCTAGTTTTGCTTTTGCTTTGTCTGAGATCATGATTGCTACCCTGGCTCTTTTTTTTTTTTTTAAACCTCAGCTGAAGCATAATAAATTCTGTTCCAGCCCCTTATTTTTGCTCTCTGGTGTATTGCTCTGTTTCAAGTCTGTTTCTTGGAACATATTGTTGGATTCTGGTTTTAGTCCATTCTGCTATCTCCGTTTTATGAGTGAGTTTATCCCATTCCCGTTCCCAGTTAGAATTATTAACTGTGTATTTCCTTCTCTCTCTTTTTAACACTTTTTAACCCTCCTCAAAAGTCTGCTTTGCTTCTAACCATTGGCTCCCTAAATTTGCCCTCCCCTTCTCTCGTCCCCTTCACCTCCTCACTTTTCTGTAGGGTAAGATAGATTTCTTTGCACAACTGAATGCGAGTGTTATTCTCTCTTTGAGCCAATTCCAATGAGAATAAGGTTCAAGTGTTGCTCACCACCTTACTCCTCTCTCTTTCCCTCCATTGTAAAAGCTCTTCTTTTTGCACCTCTTTTATTCTCCCAGTGCATCCTTCTTTTTCACCCCTTAATTTTACTTTTTTTAAATCATCCCATCATAATCAACTTACCCCTGTGCTCTCTGCCTACGTATACTCCTTCTAACTGCCCTAATAATGATAAAGTTCTTAGTAGTTAAAATTATCATCTTCCTATATAGGAATGTAAACATTTTAACCTTATTGATTCTCTTATGATTTCTCTTTCAGTTTTACCTTTTTATGCTTCACTTAAGTATTATATTTGAAAGTCATTTTCGGGGCAGCTAGATGGCGCAGTGGGTGGCACACCAGCCCTGAAGTCAGGAAGACCTGAGTTCAAATCCGGCCTCAGACCAAACACTTGACACTTACTAGCTGTATGACCCTGGGCAAGTCACTTAAACCCAATTGCCTAAAAAAAAAAAAAGAAAAAAAAAAAGTCATTTTCTATTCAGCACTGGTCTTTCCATCAGCCGTGCTTAGAAGTCTTCTATTTTGTTAAATATCCATTTTTCAGCCCTGAAGGATTTTACTTAGTTATGTTGGGTAGTGATTCTTGCTTATAATACTAGCTTCTTTGTCCTCTGGAATATCATATTCCAAGCCTTCCAGTCTTCTAATACGGAAGCTGCAAAATCTTGTACGGTCCTGACTCTGACTCCATGGTAAATGAATTATTTCTTCATGGTGTGCTTGCAATATTTTCTCCTTGAGCTGGGAGCTCTGGAATTTGACTATAATATTCCTGGGACTTTTCATTTTGGGATCTCTTTCCCAAATTGGTAGAGTTTTTCAGTTTCTATTTTACCTTCTGGTTCTAGGATATCAGGGCAGTTTTCCTTGATAATTTCTTGAAAGATGATGTCCAGGCTTTTTTTTTTTAAATCATAGTTCTCAGGTAGTACAATAAATTCTTAAATTATCTCTCCTTGTTCCATTTTTTCCAGGTCACTTGTTTTTCTGGTGAGCTGTTTAACATTTTCTTCTATTTTTAAAAATTCTTTTTATTTTGATTTATTTTTTCTTGGTTTCTTATGGAGTCATTTGTTTCCACTCTCCCAATTCTCATTTTTAAGGAATTATTTTCTTCAGTAAGCTTTTGTGCCTACTTTTACCAATTGGCCAATTCTGGTTTTTTAGGTATTGTTTCCTTTATTAATTTTTTTGTGTCTCTTTGACCAGATTGTTGACTCTCTTTTCATAATTTTCTTTCATCATTTTCATTTCTTTTATCACTTTTTACTTTACCTCTGTTATTTGATTTTTAAAATATTTTTTGAGCTCTTCCAGGAATTCTTGTCGGACTTGTATCCAATTTACATTTTTTCTTTGTGGCTTTGCTTGTAGTTGCTTTGACGTTACTGTCTTCTTTCCTGTCTTCACAGTTATTTGTTATGGTCGTGTTTTTTTTTTGTTGTTGTTGTCTGTTGATTTTTCTATCCAATTTCTTGACTTTTAGCTTTATGTTAAATTTGGATTCTGCTCCTGGAGTGGAGGGGGCACTGCCCCATCCTTCAGGAATTTTTTGCTGCTGTTTTCAGAGTTAGCTCTGGAGGTCAATATGTTATTGGTGCTTCCGAGGTGGTGTTATCTAAGGAGAGGTGTGGTCCCTGGTCTTCTGACCTGTTTGCTGGTCTTTACCCAGGAAGAGAAAGAGACCTTTTTCTCCCGTAGCCACCAGTGCTAGCATTCCTTCTGTCCCTGGGACGGTGACCAGGTTCCACACCCTCCTGCAGCCACAATTGCTAGTGCTTCCCTCTGCCTTGGAGTTGAGACTAAGACCCTGCTCCCCTGTGAACAACCACAGGCACTCCTCTTTGCCCTCGAATTACTACCAAGGCCCCTGCTCTCCTGTAGCCACAAGGGCTCTCATTTTCTTTCGCCCTGGAACTGTGACCCAGAACTACATATAGGCAATGCAACAGAGTCTTGAACCTAGTGCCAGCAAAGACTCCCCTGCTATCCTTCCAACCAGCTGTCTGACCCCCCACTGTCTATGGGCCAAGAGCTCCGAAGTTGCTGCCGCCACCAAGGCAGCCACCTCCCAAGCACCCTGTGATGCTCCCTCCAGGCCTGACCACCACCCTGGTGAGATAGAACTTTCCTGCTGACCTCCTAAGTGTTCCTGGGCAGGAAAATTTTTTCGCTCAACCTGTTGTCAGTTCTGCTGCTCCAGAATTTGATGTGAGGTAGTATTTTAGAGTTATTTGGAGGGGACTTTGGGAGGGCTCAGCTAAGTGCTTCTCTTTGCCACCTTGGCCTTGTCTCTGGGTCGATTCACTTTTGATAATCTGATTTTCTTGCCTCCCCCTCCCCCCCCTCAGATTCAGGCTTCTTCAGGAGAAACAAAATACACTGGTGCTTGGGATTGTATCAAAAAACTGTATCATGAAGCTGGAATAAGAGGCATTTACAAAGGAACTGTGCTTACGCTCATGCGAGGTAACCACTGGGGATTACCCTTCCAGAATATGCAGAACTGCCATGAAAATATATCTTGCACTAAAAGAAGGCATAAGTTGGGATTTTTTAATCCCCCATTTCTGCTAGGATATAAAGCTTATTTTTCATATTTAAGATGGAATCGGCTATAAGCAGCAGTAGCTTCTGTGCCTTGAATTGGGAACATATCTTTAGAAAATATCAAAATAGGCAATAGGTCAGCTGAGCTAAGAGTGTATGATGTGGATTTAGGGATAGTGCATAGGCAGGTCTGTTGGATACTGATGGACAGCCTTGTCCCATAACGGATGGGGAGTACCACAGGGCTGAGCATTGCCAGCAACCCTCCGTGTGGTGTCTTTGCAGACTCTTCATGGAGGAGACTGCAGGAGCTGGGATGGGAAAGGAAGTGATGAACAGAGATCTCCTGGGGAAAAGAGCAGATCCTTAGGTTGAGATTATGATGTGGCAGAGAAGGTAAAGTAGAGGAGGTTGGACTGTGTTGTACAGGGGGGATTTCTTGGTTGATGTGGGTGATGGAGTGGATCTGCTCCTCCCACCCATTCAAGACTTTGTAGCAGGGAACGAGTCTTGTGGTATTCCTGAGAAAATCTTAGGAGGATCCCTGTACTGAGCTTTGAACGATTTACCATTTGGGGGTGGAGGGGTGGAGGGGGGGGTAAGAAAAACTAAATGAATTTTTTAATGTACTTTAAAATAATGACAAGACAAATTTTTGTAATCATTCAAATTGAATATTGATAATCTAGCAAAAACCCAAACAAAATCAGTCTAGTTTATGGATTCAGAAGGTAAAACTACTTTTTCCAATTGGTCTTTTAGGTGATAACCTAAAAGTACTCTAATACTTTTTAATATTCTTCATTTCTTCATTGTGGATGCTCCCTCAGATACCAACCCCGCTCTGTGCCTTAGTAGATAATTTCTTTTTTTTTTTAATAATAGATTTGTATTGATATCTTTTTTTTTACATTGCCTAGATTTCCCTTAAATTCCTTCTTCTCTCTCCTCTAAGAGAACAGTCCCTTATAATAAAGATTTTATTTTAAAAAGAAAAAAAGGAGGAAAAAACCCTCAACAAAACCATAATTGTACATCCATGGACCACCCTCCTACCTCTGCCTCTGCAAAGGGATGGAGGGAGATGTCTTTTCATATTTTTTTTTGAGGGCCAATTTTTTAACCATACACTCTTAAATTCAAGAATATTAGCTAGTTTTGCTTTATTTTTCTTAGCAAGTATCTTTCTTGATACAAACAGATGTTCCTGCCAGTGGGATGTACTTCATGACTTATGAGTGGCTGAAAGATCTCTTCACTCCAGAAGGCAAAAGGTAAGTAGAAGCTTCCCTAGGAATTGCTGCTCTTAACTTAGGAAAGAACTGAAGTGTAAGGGAAATACGTGGCCTTCTAAGACTAGCTCCATTTCTTCTCTGGATAGTAAGTGTGGAGTTCTTGACCTCCTGTTCTTCTTTTATTCATTGACTTCAGTAGGCCAGGATTAATACACATTGGGACTGTAATGGGTGATTCAGCCATGTCTGAACAAAAAAGAAACTACTTCTTAGCTGCATTTTTCCCATTCCTGCAGCTTACTGCCTTTCTTGAGGTTGCCTCAGAAGTGAATAGGGAGCACTCATCTTTATCTTGCAGCTGTTACTATTTTCACCTGAGGCCACAGTCCAGGAAGGCCTCTCCAATACCTGTTCTTGTACCTGCTTTTCCTCCTCCTTCCTCTACAAGGCAGATCTACTTGGTGCTCTCAGCTCACACAGCCTTTCTCTTTCTCTTAACCATCCTCTTACAATGGTTTGTTCTCTGCAGTGTTAGTGAACTCAGTGCCCCTCGAATCCTGGTGGCTGGAGGCTTTGCAGGAATCTTCAACTGGGTTGTGGCTATCCCTCCGGATGTGCTGAAGTCCCGCTTCCAGACTGGTGAGAGAGAATCAGGCTGACAGAGTGGGGAGTTGACCCACAAGGCTTCCACATGTGTTTCATCCTTTGCTTTTGATCCAAAGACTTTTCTTGAAGATAAAAGCTATTGCAAGTACAGTCAGTTCTCTGCTAATTGGTGGAATCTCCGCAGCAATGCTTAAATCCCTAGCTGGATTCCCCATTAGCCTCCAAGATAGACCTAAGACAGTGTGTGCACCAGGAATGTAGTCTCATTGTGATGTCAGCCTGGGTAAAGAAAAAAATTAGAAGATAAATCTACTTTTCTTCCAAAACTTAAATCATATGTAGTACCACATTTGAAAGACAAACAGAAAATGATTTGTGAATTATTCAGCCACTGCCCCTTTCTATTTGTGTCAGGTTGGGAGGTCAGTACTGGATCAGCAGACAAGATAAAAGATGTGTTTGAGGAATTAAACACCTAATTCAGTCTATCTCCCTAAAGTTTCAGCCTTTTTTGGAACACTGCTGTGTTCCCCAGTGACATATGCTAGTGTCCTGAGCCACTGCTGATGGACCCCCCTCTTCACTCACCTGTGTCAGTAATATTGTGTGGGCTCAAACAGTGGTCCCAGGTAACTTTATAAAGTCTTAGTTGCCTATTTTGCTCCAACAGCTCCACCTGGAAAATATCCTAATGGGTTTCGAGATGTGCTGAGAGAGCTGATCCGAGAAGAGGGTGTCGCATCCCTGTATAAAGGTTTTACTGCTGTAATGATCCGTGCCTTCCCAGCAAATGCTGTAAGTATAAAATAATAACATGAGTTGCTTACAATTCTATAGAGCTTGAAGATTTACAAAGTGTTTTCAACAGTCTTGTGAGATAAATAGTGCAAGGGTTATTGATGCCATTTTTAAAGATAAAGAAACTGAGGCTTTGAGAACTGAAATGACTTGCTGCACATCACATAACTAGTAAATGTCAGAAGGAGATTGGAACCCAGGTGTCTTCATTCCAAGTCCAAAGCTATTCCCATGACACTACAATGTCTATATAATAACTCATATTTATATAGCTCTTGAAATTATACAAAGCAGCCAGTTCACAACAAACAATAGTGTAAGAATTATTCATCCCATTTTATAGATGAGGAAACCAAGGCTAGGAAGTAGCAGATATGAAGTATGAACCCATGTCATCCTCTGTGCCTCACCTAAGGCTCCTGCCATTCTGCAAGCTAGGGACCAGACAGCATGGGGCAGGCAAAGCAGCTAACTCAGAGGCAGGTGTTGCCTTCTTCCTGATTTCAGACTCTTGTGCTCAATCCCTTTATTATATAATTATCATTGAAACCTGCCTTCTTGGTCCTCAGGTAGAAAAGGGAAGTTGCATCTTTAGGTTTTGAAATTCTGCATCCTGCTTAGATTTCAGAGAATATTTGTTCTACCCATTGTGGCTGAACAATTACCATTCCCCATGGGGAGCTAGGGCTTTCCATGTCCCTGGGTACCTATACTATTTGAATTCTGTAGAAATTTAGGGCACTGGCTCCTCACATGTGTACTGGGGCACAGGGGCATCCCATTCTGTCCTCTGGACTCTGAATCATCTTGAGCTTACATCTCCACACTGGGAATTAACTGGCCTCTTTAGTCATAAACTGGCTTTGGAAGAGAAGCTCTTAGCAAAGGGGCAGTGATTCCTTGTACTCAATGTTGGGAATGTGAGAGTCACTAAATGTTAGAGTTGGAGACGATGATGCAGCCCACCATCCTCATTTTGTAGCAGAGGAAGCTGACCAATGAGGGGAAAGATTTTCCTGAGTCATAACTAGCTAGTTATATGGCCAAGCCAGAACTTGGACTAAGGCATTCTGATTGCTTGTCTATTATGCTACCTCACCTGTCCCTATGCTGACCAGTGTACAACTTTCGTTTCATTATTTGACAGAAAGAGGGGACTACTTCTCTGCCTTGAGTAAGAGCTCTGAATTTGTTTGGTGTCATGGACCCCTTGCACAGTGTCTGGTGAAACTTTCTCAGAGTCACATTTTTAAATGCATAAAATAAAATACATGAGATTACAAAGGAAATCCATTATAATGAGATGGATTTATTATTAAACATTAAATTAAATTAAAATTAAATATTAAAAAAACACAAGTTCACAAACCGAAGGTTGAGCTCAGAAATTGACCAGCTGGCTGGCTGCAGCTTTAATAAGCATTAATTAAGCACCTATTCATACATAGCAGTCCTTATGCTCAGCCCTTGAGATGCAAAGAAAGGTGAAGAAAAAATTAAAAAAAAAAATAAACCCCAGTTAAGTTGTCAACTAGATTTTTTGGGTGTGTACTATGTTAGATGCCTGAGAATCAAAAATGAAAATAAATAACAGCCCTTGTCTTCAAGGAGCTTATATTCTTCTAGACTGAAGCAATAGGAGAGATTGTCAAATAAGAAGTTATTATCTGAGAGCGAAATTTCAGTGTTGAGGTTACGGAGGTGGCACAGTCACAGATGGTGGTAAGACCTAGGATATGACCACCTCTGTTGGGGTGCCATGAAGATGTAGGTCATGGGAACTAAAGTTGTTGATTTGGTTTCCTGGCTCCCAAGTGGTAGACAATAGGGAGCTGTGAGACTGTGGATAGATTGACTGTTGGGAAATATGTCTGTGGCTACTCTACTGACTTGATAGAGTTATTTTATTTTAATAGCAGTAACACTGATTGAGCCCTTTCTGCTTTGGAGAGGTTCCTGAATTTAATGGATTTCCCTTTAGCTGTAGCAGGGGAGGATGATAGAGAGCTAGTCTCCACATAATGTGGGGAATCACTACTCTCCTAATACCCTTTCCATCTCTTTTTTTCCTAGGCCTGTTTCCTTGGCTTTGAAATTGCCATGAAGTTCCTTAATTGGATTGCACCTAATATATGAAACTCAGAAATCTTAAATCCTCCAGACAAAGGGAGGAGGTGTACAGTGACAAGGAAAGGGGCAAGACTGAACTCAACTTGGCAAGAATCTGCATATTGGTGGGGGGGAAGAGAATGAAGAAGTAAGAATGCTTAATGAACTTTGTATAACTTATGCCTTAAAGACATCCTTTGGCTGGTACAATGTGGCCATTTTGAAACTTGAATTCAGTCTTGGTGATTTAAGGAGATTTCATAAGGCTTTGGAGGTTGAAGTCAGTAGCTAGCCTCAAAACAGAATCTATTTTGCACTTATGCCATCCCTAGCCAACTTTTACAAACCTGCTATGTAGGACATCTTCCTCAGTTCCGGAAGGGCCGTGAATCACTAACAGTACCAGAGACCTATTTTTAATACCAACTAACCTTCAGTTGAGAGACTGTTCAAACACTAGTTGATGAACACAATTCTCAGGACACCTTTTAACCTTCGGTTGTACATGTTGAAATGTGACAGTAGTTTACTGTCTCCATTTGTGCTGTCTTTGGATGTATATTTAAGAGCATATTGCTAGCTTGTCAACACTGGGGTTTTAATTTTGTGTGTCATTAATCGAGAAGTGGAATAAAATAGCCTAATTCTGGTAGGATTGTGTGGGAAAGTGTCCTCTTTCCCAACCAACTCCCACCCTATAACTAGGACAATTTTGAATCAACAATCGAGTCATGGAATTGGTGAGGATAAATTGAGTGTGTGGGAGAACTCCTTCTACACACTTTCCTCTGTGGTGAGGGGATCCTCTTTTATCAGGAAATAATAAATACCTTTTTTTTTTCTCTGACTTTTGTTCTTCTGACTGTGTACTTATTAGCTGGCAACCTGTCAGCTGGCTGATGCCAGGGACTAATGAAAGCAGCTGCTGAGTCTCCCCTTGACCTTCAGACCCTGGTCTAGTCCTTCTACCTCTGTGAGGAGCAGTTTTTCTGAATCCCATTTTGCCCCTGCTAGCAGAGGGAGGAGAACTTGATTGCCTGCTAGTGTTTCCACTTGGTTATTTCATAGGATCAGATTCAGAACTGCAAGGGACCTTAGAGATCACCTAGCCCAACTCCCTCATTTTACAGGTAAGAGTATTGAGGCACAGAGAAGGCTAGTGACTTACATAAAATCACAAAGTTAGTGGCAAAGCTAAGATTGCCATTTAGGCCCTTTGACTCCACATCCAGTGCTCTTACCACTATGTTCCATTGCCCCACATCAGGCTACCATCTTCAGCTAATTAGAAGTGAGGCCTTATGGGCAGCTAGGTGGTGCAGTGGATAGAGTACCGGCCCTGGATTCAGGAGGACCTGAGTTCAAATCCGGCCTCAGACACATAACACTTAACTAGCTGTGTGACCCTGGGCAAGTGATGCCTTGGCTTTATCTCCCTCAAGCAAAGTAGCTTCAGTTTTGCTCCCCGGCCACAGTCTGCACCTTTCTGCAAAATGCTTTCAATTCAATACACATCTTGCTAGTCCTTGGTGGTGTTCTTGTTCTGTCTGTGAATTATTTGTTGATAGAGTTCGAGGCCAGAAACTCTGAAATCAACTAGTTCCTATCTCTGGCTTCTGCCTCTAGTGGGAAACTCTCCCTGTAGCTCTTCTTGGCTTTACCAGGCCCCCTGAGAATGCCTGTGGGTGGGGGCTTTTCCCGAAACCACTGCTTTTTCCCAGCCGATGTTGTTAGGTCACTTGTATTCAAGCCAAATGCCAGCTTTATTCCATGTCCCAGAACTATTTCCTGGGAGAGTTGGGTCTGAAGTCTATTTAGACTTTTTCCAGCTGACAGCTGAGTTATTTGCTCTGGAAGACAATGTGTGAATGTGAAATGTTTTGCAAACCTTAAGGCACTATTTAAATGTGACCCACCACCACCACCACCATCATCATCATCATCATCATCATCATCATCATCATCATCATTACATTATAAAAGAAAGCATTCACAATCCTCAGATAGAGCAGCTTTTTGCTGCTTTGGGTGCTTGATGGATGTTAAGTCTAAAAAGGAAAGCATTCTGAGGCCAACTCTGAATGACATCAAGCAGATGGAAGGAGTAACTTCTCCCAGGCCTTTGGAGCAGAAGCTTGCTTTTTATAACTGCACTCTAATGCTAGTTAGAGATATTTTCATTCTCTTCCTTCAGGAGGGGACTTGCCACCTCCCCAGCTTCTGTCACCCCCCAGACTGTCTCAGCTAGAATCCAGACAGCGATTGTAAAGGCAACAGTGTAGCAGTTAAAGTCTGGCAAGTGATAGAAGATGAATGAAACTGGGTTAAGATTTAGTAACAATTGAAGGGTCAGCAGCTTTCTCTTCCTAAGGGACAATGGCCTGTTTGTTTAAAGCAGTCCTGTTTTTATGCCAGGGCAACCACACTGATTCTCATGCAATCTTCTAATGTCAGTTGGGATGAGGTGTCATGTCACAGAAAGAGTGTGAGACTTGGAGTCAGGAGACCTGGGTTTGAATCTCAGCTCTTTCACTTACTAGCTATTGACTTTAATTAACTGACTTGAGAAGTCAGGCCAAAAGAGAGGGAGAAGGGAGGGATGCCCAATTTATTTTGGTATTTCTTTTGAGGGCCCTGTAGGGTAGAGGGTACTAAGACTTGAAGAGGCTTGGTGAGATTCTCACTATTCAAGGCATGTCATGATGAGCCAGCCCCCTCCCCCTAATGACCTTCTCATTGCTGGATCTGCCCCAGGCATGTGCTTCCAGACTCTCTTGCTCAAAGAACCTTTACCCTTAGCCACAAGGGGCGGAGAATTTTGGCTGGTACTTCATGCCTATCAGCTTTCCAGGCAGGAGTGGAGCTGGCTACCAGTTGGTGCCACCTACCATGATTTATTGATGGTTCTCCTATATAGGGCAATGGGTTTGTGTGTGTGTGACATGAGGAATGTGACCAAAGGAGACAGGATTAATTTGGTCTGATCTGGGGCGGGTCAGAGAGAGCAGAAGTACAGATGTCCTTATATTTCTGGGAAGTCCCAGGACTGGATAAATATGTGCAGTTTTATGTGAATTCCTCCCCAAATGGAAATTCATTAAGGATGCGGGAAAAGCTGTAAATCAAAGGCTCCCTATTCCTCTTCTTCTCACCTTTTGTCAGAAAATGCTGTGGGGGTCCTCTGACTAGTCCATCCATTTATTTATTCAACTGTTGCTTATTATATACATGATATGTGTGGGGCAGATACAGATATTAATATCCATCATTTGTCTATATAGCATTTACTTTAGAAAGTACTGCACCCAAATCTTTTGATGTTGACAACCACCCTGTGAGGTAGGCAATAGAGTTAGTTTTATCTCGTTTTACAGATGAGTATAAGACTAGGTGAAATGAAATGACCTGCTCTAAAATCTTACAGTTAATTAGGGGCAGAGTCATGATGAAAACTACCCCAGAGAGATCAGACCATTGTACAGGTGGTATCATGGAAAGAGAGATGGCTTTTAAGTCAGAGTAACTGGATTCAAATCCTAGCCCTTCCACTAGCAACCTATGTTACCTTGGGCAAGTTACTTAACCTCATGTTACTCATCTGTAAAATAAAGGAGTTGGACTGAATGACCTCTGAGATTCTTTTTAGCTTTAAATCTATGATCCTGTGAGGGAAGGCCATTCCTTCGCAGATGGAGTCAGGGAAGACTTACATATGAATTGCCTCTAAGCTGTACTTCCAAAGACACAGCTAGCCTTTTGCAGCCCAGTGTACTTCCAAGGAGGTGAACCAAAATATCAAAATGGTAGGTCAGGGGCTTGGGCATAGGATGGCCAGTTTTACCATATGGCATCTAAAGCCACTGCTGCCCAAAGTTAGCCCTAGAGATGTGAATAGGAGACCACTGTCCCCTATCCTCCCTTGAGAACTGACTGGGTTGCTGTGATCATGCCATACCAGGAAGAGCGTGCCACTCATGAGAAGCTGACACTTGTTAGTCCTAGCTCCAAAGCCTGTTACTAATAGCATTTAGGAACTGGGTAGCTTGGTGCTTTTTTTAACTATGATGCAAGCCTCTCAACTGTCTTTCCATGTCAGAATGCTCCAATCAGCTGAACATACCATACAGCTTAATGCAGATGTATTATTTGATCCAAAGACCTCCACCATGGTTTGGAGCTGATTTTTTTTTCCTCAGAAGGAGACTGTTTCTATGTTTACTTCTCAGTCATCTCTGTTTATGAATATGTGGTTTGGGGGATGATAAAAGGATGATGACAGCTCTAAGGGATAAACGTCATTTTCATGTTTTACTAGCCTCAATGATGAAAAATAATAATAAAAGCCTTTCTCATTTATAAGCTTTCCAATTCCTCTTTGATAATCATTTTATCTGAACATGAAGCAACACTATTTGATAAGAGTCTTGGAGTGTTAGACCTGAAGTCTAGAGAGCTAGATCTGAATTCAAATTCCAAAATTTTCTAGCTATGTGGACAGATCTCATTTTCCTGAGCCAGTTTCCTGGTTTCTAAAAAGTGGGAGTTCATTAATATTGACAAGTAAAATTATCACCATCTTACAGATAAGAAATCCGAAGCCTAGTAATTTGCTCAGAATCACACAACTAATACATGATGGAGCTGGGATCTATACCCAATCTCCTGACATTTAGTTCAGTGTTCTTTAAACCTCTCCATCAATTTATTAAGCACCCACTATGTGCCAGGCACTATGCTAGGTGTAGGAGATAACTTCTCCAAAAGTGAGGTATTGAGGAGGTGCTAATCAGGTCAACTGATCTGAATATGGGGATGAATGAGATTGAAGGATGACTTCTGGATTTGTGAATCTTGGTGACTGGAAGTTTGGTGGTGTCCTTGACAGAAATAGGGAAGTTAGGAGGAGGGATGTGTTTAGGAAAAAGAATTCTGTTTTGGACATACTGAGCTTGAGAGGCCTATGGAAACAAATGAAACCATCCAGAGAGGATGTTCAGAGAGAAGAAAAGAGAGCACAAGATGGAGCCCTGGGGTGCACCTACCCTACACTATAGCAGAACAAAACATGGGTCATGTCCTTTGAAAGAAACCAAAAAAGATCATTCTGATAGACTGGAAGAGATTCAGGACAAAGCAGTGTCATTGAAACTCAGGGAAGAGAGAGTATGTAGAAACTAGCAAGTTCAAGAAAGATGAAGACTTAAAAAAAGGCCAGTGATTTAGCAATAAAGAGATGATTGGTAAATTTGGAGAGGGTAGTTTTGGTTGAGTGGTGAGGATGGGAATCCAGAATACAAGGGGTTGAAAAAGTGGGGGCAGCTTTTTTTTTTCTAGTAGTTTGACACTGAAATGGAGGAGAGATATATAGGATGATAACATGAAGGGATACTCACATTAAAAAAAAAGATTTTATATTTTAAAGAATATGGAGGATGTGGGTTATGTTTGATGCTATCAGGGAAGGAGTCAGTAAATAAGGAGAAGATGAAAATCGGGGACTGAGTGATGACTGAAAAGGCAAACTCCTGGAAGAGACAGAAGGGGATTAAGGCAATGGCACAAATAGACAATTAACATTAGCAAGAAGGGCTGCCTCATCCCCCCCAAGGATGGGGGTGGAGTATGATGCCAGGGTGATTTGAAATGTGGAATTGAAGAGGAAAGAGAGTTCTTGAAGGATGGATTTCATTTTTTCAGTGAAGTATAAGGGATAGTCCTCTACTAAGAAGGAAGAAGAGTAGTGTAGGAGGTTTTGAAGGGAAGATTTGAATCAGTCATTCACAGCTGTCACAGAATAGAAGGTCAGTAAAGCAAATGTGAAAAGATTGCCTTGCTGCAGTGATGGTC